TTGTTCCTTGCCCAGCCTCCTGGTGACATTTCTTCTACTTCTCTTTTAGCTAAGCATTGAAGATTTTACAGCATATGGTGGTGTGTTCGGAAATAAACAGGACAGTGCCTTTTCTAACCTGGAGGTAAGGCTCTGCTCACAGCCCCAGCTAAGAGGACAGAAATACATTCTGTGCTCTCTTTCCCAGAGAGAGTACCAGAGGCTTTGAGGTAGATGGCCTGGAATGTGAGTGTCAGATATGGGACATATAATTTCTGACCTGTTGTGACCCTGCAGGGTGTGGCTTTTCAGGCAATGTTTTTTGGAGTTATTATGCTCATTATTCCCTGGCTTATTTTTGTCTTCCACTTCTCCTCTACCATCAGAATGCCCTGGATTTGGCCCCCTCCTCACTGGTGCTTCCTGCTGTGGACTGGTATGCAATCAGCACTCTAACCACCTACCTGCAGGAGAAGCTTGGGGCTAGTCCCCTGCATGTGGACCTAGCTACTTTAAAGGAGCTGAAACTCAATGCCAGCCTCCCTGCCCTGCTGCTCATCCATCTGCCCTACACAGCCAGGTACTACCTGGGTGGCACAGCATCTAGCCTTGCACTTCAAGAGATGGGTAAGGTCTTGGGCTCTGAATTTTGGTGGCAGAGTTGAGCCAGAGATGACAATATTCTTCTGTTCACCACCTTGAGACTCTTCCAGAAAGTTCTTTGTATGCCCAGAAGAGACAGGAAGGACTTCCTCTTAGGCTGTGACTTACAAGTATCCACCACTGAGTTATACCTATTGGGCTTCCAGAAATGAGGCAGACATGGTCCCTACTTGTAGAAAACCTTTTCACCCAGTGAGGCTCTCTTTATAAAACTGTCGACAGGGACTGTACCTGCACAGTGATGAAAGGGGAATGATGGGATTCCAGGCAGGGATACTGAAGAAAATAGAGGTATGGGGGGGCTAACTGCTGCTGAGCTGGGCCTATGCATGACTTTCAGAGCAGCAGCTGAAGTGCACAGGCTTGGTGAGTGGGGCTAGTGGGCAAGGAAATGATGGAAGGGTTGAGAGAAAGATAGTGAGCTTCAGGGAACTGCTCCAGGCAAGCTGTTTGGACTTGAGGGAAGAACAACCTGAGGGCCTCTTATTTTCTTATCTATAGCTCCGGTCTGATGGCACCAAGGGAGGTCCTCACAGGCAATGGTGAGTGTGGTCCCAGGAAAATAGAACTGGTTTCTCCTTACTACAAGGGTGGCCTCCTGTTTCTCAAAGTAGCTGATAGCTGAGCAAGGACATATTGGCTGACTGCCTGGCCATGTTCTTCTGTAGGCAGCTTCACCTGATAGAGGTTCCTTATGACCCCTGTGCAAGAGCCCTGGAATCTAGTTTCTGCATAGGTCTAGTGAATCCATGGATTTCATAGACCAGTAACATTATGCAAAGCAATTAGTAGGACTTGCCTTTGTAGTAAAGGACAGTCTGTTTGCATAGAAAGGAAGTTGGGTAGATCTGTAGTTCTCTATATCACTATATGTTTCATTTAGGTTGGGCTTGGCATTGGAGAGTCCATGATTGAGGCCACAATTATCTTTAGTGGAAACTAACAACACTGATTTTCTCAAGGTCTAGAAGGTCTCTAAAGCACACCATGGGGAGTATTTATTTAAGCAGACTACCTGGTGACTTGGCTCTCTGCTCTCCTGTCCCGCTCCAGATGAGGTCATTGGACAGGTACTGAGCACACTGAAGTCTGAAGATGTTCCTTACACCGCAGCTCTTACTGCAGTCCGCCCTTCTAGAGTATGTACTCTTCTAGCAGGGGCCCAGGGGCATGGGGTTATGAAGTCATTGGTGAGTGTTCCTGGAGATGAAAGGGTATGCCATAGGCAGGGCCTCCCAGGAGTCCTTATCTTGGGAGATTAGTGGGAAAAGGATTGCTTCCTCTGTCCATGGGAACTCTTTTTCCCCATCTTGCTTGTGAGCCACTTGGGCAGTGTTCATGCACACTTGCTGCAAGTGATCATAAGTTTAGGGAGATGGAACGTCAGGGCTAGTGACTTTCAGATGGTGTTCAGGGTACCCAGTGGGAAGGGAGACCATTACAATGGATTAGGCTTTGTTTTTAGGGCTGTTGAGAGAAGACTTGTATATTTCTGCAGGTGGCCCGTGATGTACCTGTGGTGGCTGGGGGTCTGGGTCGCCAGCTGCTTCAGACTCAGGTGGCATCACATGTGATCCATCCTCCTGTGAGTTACAATGACACTGCCCCAAGGATCCTGTTCTGGGCACAAAACTTCTCTGTGGCATACAAAGACGAGTGGAAAGACTTGACTTCCCTCACCTTTGGTGTGGAGAATCTTAACTTGACTGGCTCCTTCTGGAACGACTCCTTTGCCATGTAAGAATACTAGGCAGGGAAGGAAGGACTGTATTAACACATATTACCTTCTTGCCACTGTGAGCCCAGGGCAGGGCAAGGATGTAGGATCAGGTGTGTATATGTTGGGGGTGAAGAAGGGCTGTATGGTATGTTCACCAAAGAGTTGAAGATAGTATCATGGGGTCATGTTACTGGGAGGTTACTGGAGTACAAGCCTCTCACAAGTTTTACCTTCCCATGCTTTTTAGGCCTTGGTTGTTGGGTTCTGGGTTATTACCATCACACAGTTCCTGGCACTTCTTTGAACTCAACCCCCGGGACTACATGTGGGCAAATAGCAGACAATCTGCCAAAACCAGTTCTAGGCTTCCTACCCCTGAAACCTTAGCAGGCAGCTGAAGGGGCCAAAAGAGGCCCAGGGGATTCAGAAGAACCAGAGGAAGGAATCCTAAGCTGGAGAGGTGGGACCTAGGTGCAGATCCCCCAACTGTTCCTGGTTGGTTATGACTAGAGCCTTTCCCATCTGCTAAATGGGGACACTGTATTGGCAGGTGACTGTAAGGATGGACTTAGGGAAGCTTAGGTTGGACCCACCCTGAGAAGAACCTTGCTTTAGGTCCTTCTATTGCCTGATAGTACCCGTCTGCCTTGTCCCACAGGCTTTCACTGACCTATGAATCACTCTTTGGTGCAACAGTGACATTCAAGTAAGTTCTGGTGACTGAAGTATGGCTGGGTTGGTATGTCTCCATTGTCTTCTGTTCATCTGACATCTCTGCTACCCTCACCTCCCAGGTTCATTCTGGCTAATCGCTTCTACCCAGTGTCTGCCCGATACTGGTTTACTATGGAACGACTTGAAATCCATAGCAATGGCTCTGCTGCCCATTTCAATGTTTCCCAAATCACAGGACCCAGTATCTATTCTTTCCACTGTGAGTATGTCAGCAGTCTGAGCAAGAAAGGCAATCTACTTGTGACCAACGTGCCCTCACTCTGGCAGATGACTCTTCATGACTTCCAGGTATTGAAAGGGGGATGGGCTCCAAGCTGGTGGCAGTTGTGGGAGGGAAGAAGGGCCCAGAGAATCTCAATATGGCTTGAGCATGTAACTGAGAGTTAATCCTTGTGCTGTCTCTGAAGGTCTAGACTGTTTACTGATTCCAGAACCCCAGCCCTTTCTGTCTGTAGAAACTTGTGGTCCCTTCTGATCCATGTTTGTGTCTCCTAGATCCAGGCCTTCAATGTGACGGGTGAGCAGTTCTCCTATGCTAGCGACTGTGCTGGCTTCTTCTCCCCAGGCATCTGGATGGGACTGCTCACCACCCTCTTCATGCTTTTCATCTTCACCTATGGCCTACACATGATACTCAGCCTCAAGACCATGGATCGTTTTGATGACCACAAGGGCCCCACCATCACTTTGACACAGATTGTGTGACCTGTGCCAGAGAGATATTGAGGGAGTGTTGGTGTCTAGGTTGTCATGTTTCCATCTTGTGACATAGTGGATAGAAGGGTTTGTCCTCTTCCAATTATAGCATGAACCCTACACTACCCTCAGCCTGTCTTGCTTCCTCTTCAACCTGCTAAGGGACTGACTTCCCTGAGGGCTATCCCCCCATCTCTTCCAACAAAGTGTATATATTCTTCATAGATATTAGACAAATATTCCAGGCTCCATCATCATGAGGGGAAGGAACATTAATTTTAGGGCTCCCTCTCCCCCTTCCCCCCTTATTTATTCTTGCCCCTCCACTATTGTCCTTGCTGTTTATAGTGCTTCTGTGTAGTTAATGCTCACTCCCCAAGCTTTATGAAGCTTCCAGCAACAGCAATGAACTTGAGGTTCCTTGAGTTTCAGATGTATGGAAAGACTACTTAACTGTCTGTCCAGCTTGGCTGTTGTGTTTTTTGGGTGATGTGTTAAGAATGATCAGTACACTGGGGTTTATTTCTGTAGCCTGAAAAGGAAGAGACCTCCGCAAGGCTTGTTCCCACTAGGATTGCTTGCCAAGAGACAGGGGTGGGGGTACTCTTTTGTTTCCTTTCCTAATAAAATAAAGACGTGTTGCCATATGTTGGGCTTCGGCTTTGAGTCACTCATTTCTGCACTTGACAGTAGGTTTGTTCTTCACTGATGGGAAGAAGTGCCCTGGTTTAGTCCTGACAGGCAGGAGATGAGAGGGGAAGGGTGGGAGAATCTTCAGCAAGCTGATACTCTTAACGAGTTAAGGTAGAGTCCCGTTGTTTCTCCTGGCCTTGGGGAGACTCCTGACAATGGCAGCTCTCACAGATACTGGCAGCTGCAAATACCACAGGGCCTTGCTGTTTCTCCCAGAGAGACTGTACAGGAGCGCTCTGGGAGGGATGGGATGGGGCGGGGCGCGCGCGGCTCCCGCGCATGGATCCTTCGCGGGACGCAGCACCGTCCGCGGGCCCGCCCCGTCCCGCCCCGCCCCGCATTTCTCTGGGCTTGCAAAGACCTGCGTTGCTCCCGGAGTTGTGCTGGTGCTGAGACTCAGGCGCCGGAAACACTTCCAGAAAATAAGTGGGGGAAACCGTGGTTTCGCTTGGGCGTGGCAGGGCCCGAGGAGGGAGAGGGACTCTTTGACGAGGCGGAGGGATCTGGAGACGACTGGTAGTCGCCATCTTTGCTTCAGTGCGGCGGAAACGGCTGCGGCAGTGGCAGCGGCAGCGGCTGCTGTGGTGAAGGAGGAGGAGGAGCCGAGCGGGCGTTGGTACCAAGGCCTGACCATGGACGAGGAATACGATGTGATAGTACTGGGGACAGGTCTTACCGTAAGTGTCACCTCAGGCGCTCTTAGCCCTGTAGCAAACCTTTACCATCCCCCGCGGTGATGCAGACCCCTGGCCACCTGTCTCATTCTCCCATCATTGCGTTCCTGGCTCTGGTCCTGGCAAAACCAACCCTGCTCCTACCCCACTGCCTCACCCTAGGATGTCGAGACTCGACTGCGCTGCCATCTTGTCGACTCCCTGTAGAGGGCCCTATTTCAGCCTGTACCCCTGCATCCTAAGACCCCTTCATCATCCCTATCTGTGTCACAGAGGTGGAAAACTACCTCCTCCCCCCACTGGACCGCTTGCACCCAGCCCCCACCCTTCGCCTGCACCCATCACCTGTTTAGCATCCTTGATAAGCATCTCTTACCATTTTGTGATCACACTAGGGTATAGAGTATAAAGATATGAGTATGGGGGGCATTCCAAGGGTGCGTTCTCATCCTGCCTTTCTGCCTTTTGGGAGGGGACGGGAACCCAGGGAATGTTCTAGAAGCAGCAGCAGTAGAGGTAGTTACCATATTCCCTCTGCCCCAACCTGGTTTCCCATGGAGATCTCAGGCTGAATATATCCTCGGCCTTTGTCCTTGGGCTAGTGACAGTGATTGGTTGTTGGTTTGCACCCTGAGTCTGGACCGGTAGACAGGGCCAGAGGGTCAGGGGCTCCTGCCCTTTGAAGGAGGAGCAGTCCAGGGTGGGGCCTGGGATTTCAAGTACTGGCCTTCCCTTTTAAAGACACTTTGAATTGGTTCTTCTCCAGATTCGTTAACCTTTTTGTGGGCTCAGAGCGTAAATACTTACTTGGCTTCTGGGTGCTAGAAGACTGTCCTTGGGTCTGCTGGAAGCTCTGCCTTCCTAAGCCTCATTTAATGCTCTGGTAGTTCACCATTTTGCCCAACAGAGTTATAAAGGAAACATCATATGAAGTCATTTTCCTTCTCCCCAGTTTTAGGTGCTACAAGAGCCAGGGCTTTACGTTATGAAATTTATGTTGGGTTTGAGTCAGGGACAAACCAGGGATGCCGGTCAGAAGGCAGATGGGAGTGTAGCTGCAAATGCCACCCCTCCCCCAGGAATGCATCTTGTCCGGCATCATGTCTGTGAATGGAAAGAAGGTGCTGCACATGGATCGGAACCCTTACTATGGGGGTGAGAGCTCTTCCATCACACCCCTGGAGGAGGTAAGGCTTCTTGGACTTGGGCTTAGACCCAGACCCCTTGTTAGTCTCTGACATAGGGGCATGGGGCAAAGTAGTCCCCAGGTGCTGGGCAGGAGAATGGGAGAGGGATGGGTGGTCCTTGACATTTTTCTTTCTTCCTGTCCTGCTTACAGCTATATAAGCGCTTTCAGTTGCTGGAAGGGCCCCCTGAGTCAATGGGCCGGGGCCGAGACTGGAATGTTGACTTGATCCCCAAATTTCTCATGGCCAACGGTGAGGGAGATTAAGAAGATAATGTATATGGTGATTGGTGGGTTGTGGTCATTGGGAAGACCAGAAGGGAGGGTCAAGTTCCAGAATAAGGTCAGTCAGACAACTGAGAGCTTTTGAAGGGAGCTACACTGATATCCCTAATCCTCTCTGGACACAGGTCAGCTGGTAAAGATGCTGCTGTATACAGAAGTGACTCGTTATCTGGACTTCAAGGTGGTAGAGGGCAGCTTTGTATACAAGGGAGGCAAGATCTACAAAGTACCATCCACTGAGACTGAGGCCTTGGCTTCTAGTAAGTATGAGTCTCCTTAGCCAGAGAATAATGGGACAGGAGGAAGCAGACTATTCTCAAGATAGTTAGGCAAAAGGCCTAACCTAATCTTAGCTCCATGTAGTACCAGAGGCCCCTTGCTTTATAGTACTTTTATTGGGTTGTGCTACCTATCCTGGCAAGTTACCAGGAAGGAAACTCATGGAAGAGGATTTTTTTTGGCAAAGGCCCTACTTGACCCCCATAACATCCCCAAGTGGAGATGGGAGTGCCTCTTCCTACAAATAGGAAAACTGAGCCAAGAAGGGTGGGGCAGTTACATGACTGAGCTCTGGTGGGAGCCAGAATACCAACTTTCCTGGCCTGCTCTGGTGGAAAGAAGAGTTTTATTTCCCAGTAATACAAAAAGAGTCTTTTCAATACCCTCTCTTCAGATCTGATGGGCATGTTTGAAAAACGACGCTTCCGGAAATTCTTGGTGTTTGTGGCAAACTTTGATGAAAATGACCCTAAAACCTTTGAGGGTGTTGACCCCCAGACCACCAGCATGCGTGATGTCTACCGGAAGTTTGATCTGGGCCAAGATGTCATTGATTTCACTGGCCATGCCTTGGCGCTCTACCGCACTGATGAGTGAGGGGAAAGCTGGCTGGTGGCGGGAGCCCCTTTGTCTGCCTCACACCTTACCCTCCACACACCTGCCTATTGTATCCACTGCCCACCCTGCATATCCCTTGTACTTGTCTATAAGTTCACCCAATGTTGCATTTCCATCCCTCTCTTCCATTTGACTCATATCTTTGCCAGGTCACAAAGGGTGGCGGGAAGGCTGGATGGTATCTTTGAAGATGAGCAGGGGTGCTGCCATCAAAGCATCTTTTCTTGTTCCCCAGGTACCTGGATCAGCCCTGTCTTGAGACTATTAACCGCATCAAGTTGTACAGTGAGTCCTTGGCCCGGTATGGCAAGAGCCCATATTTGTACCCACTCTATGGCCTGGGTGAGCTGCCCCAGGGCTTTGCAAGGTGAGGACCTTTTTTTTCAAGCTGGCATTAGTGGGTATGACTAAGACCAATAAGCCTGGTGGTAGTGCTGCAAGCCTTTAATCCCAGCATTTGGGAAGCAGAGGCAGGCAGATCTCTGTGAGTTCCAGGCCAAGCTGGTCTACAGAGTGAGTTCTAGGACAGCCAAGGCTACATAAAGAAACACTGTCTTGAAAAACCAAAATAAAATGAAATAAATAAAAGACTAAGGCCAGGAATGAAAATTACCTTCTTGAGCATTTTGGGGGCATCTCCTACTTTCCCATCTAATTTTCATGTATGTTGTTCCATTCCTGGGTAATAGGAGCCTTAGTGCAGAGTAAAGGTGGAGAGTTGGCTCAGCAGATAAAAGCACTTGTTTTTACAGGAGACCCAGGTTTAACTCCAACACTCATGTGGTGGCTCACAACTGTTCATAACTCCAGTTTTAGGGAATCCCAACACCTTCACCTGACCTCTATAGGTACCAAACATGCATGTGGTCTACAGACATTTGCAAACAAAACACATACACATAAAATAGTGAATATAAATAATGTACTTAAAAAGTAAATGAAATGCAAATTAAAGGACCAGATGATCATGAAAATAGCTTTCCCAGCTCCTGGTAGCACCCGAAGTAAGTCTAGGACTCCAGACCCTTGGAAGCTGACTCTTTGCCAGAGAGTTCTTTATTCAATTCCTGAACCATTTCTATGTGCAGCTACACTCACTGGAGCTTTGCAGAATAGAATATTCTGGATGGAAACTCCAGAGAGGAAGGAGTATGCCAAGATGGGCTCTAAGTTCATTCATAGGAGGAACACCTGAAACAGTTGGAGTTAAATTCTGTCTATCTGGGCAGTTTTCTCTATCTCACTGATATGATGGGGAGAGTATAGTAGATTTGGTTCCCATTGTTCCGAGAAGACTTCCCCATAATTTTCCTTACTACAGATTGAGTGCCATATATGGTGGAACATATATGCTGAACAAACCTGTGGATGACATCATCATGGAGAATGGCAAGGTGGTGGGTGTGAAATCTGAGGGAGAGGTAAGCATATCCTGTGCATTTGTTACCATGGCTTGGGTAAGGTTTGGTCTTTTTTAGGGCTATATTCATAGGGAGCCTTATTGCTGCTGAGTTTGCCGTTGTTTAACCCCAAGAGCCTCATAGCTAGGAACTGGGTGGTCAATAAAAGTCTACATAGCTATTGCTGCTGGCAAGAAGTATCCTTCAAGGGCTGGATAGACGGCTCAGAGGTTAAGAGCACTGGCTACTCTTCCAGAGGTCCTGAGTTCAATTCCCAGCAACTACATGATGGCTCACAACCATCTGTAATAAGGTTTAGTGACCTCTTCTGGCCTTCAGGTATACATGCAGGCGGAATGCTATATACATAGTAAATAAATAAATCTTTTAAAAAAATAAGTATCCTTCAAAGCTGGGTGGTGGTGGCGGCGGCGCACACCTTTAATCCCAGCACTTGGGAGGCAGAGACAGGCCTGTCTCTGTGAGTTTGAGACCAACCTGGTCTACAGAGTGAATTCCAGGACAGCCTCCAAAGCCACAGAGAAACCCTGCCTCAAAAAAGAAAACAAAAAAAGTATCCTTCAAATTGCCAGGTGTGGTGGTTCATGCCTGTAATCCCAGTACTGGGTGGGAGGGGGGCAGAGGTACATGGATTTAAATAAATCAAGAAGTAACCTGCAGCAAGGCCAGCCTGGTCTACAGAGTGAGTTCCAGGACAGCCTCCAAAGCCACAGAGAAACCCTGTCTCGAAAAAACCAAAAAAAAAAAAAAAAAAAAAAAAAGAAGTAACCTGCAGAAGTCACATGCTGTGTCTGTAGTTCCAAAAGTATTGTTTTTGAAAGGGTGTCATGTATCCCATACTGACCTCAAATAGTCTATATAGGTGAGGATGAACATTTAATCCTTGTGCTTCCTTCCACCTTCCTCATGCTGGGATTACAGGTGTGTGTCAACATACCTGGTTTATGCAGTGCTAGAGTTCTAACCCAGGGTTTTATGCATGATAGGTAAGCATTATGCCAATGGAGACACATGCTTTACCCTCCCCCCTCAGCGAAAAAAAAAAAAACAAAGAACTTCAACCTGGTGTCGGCATGGGCACTGAGGTGGCTGGCTAAGGGAGGAAGATCCTGAGTTTGAGATTAGTTTGGGCCAAATAAACTCAAACAAAATAGACTCAAACAAAAACCCCATTAATAGCAAAAAAAAAAGTGTAATCATTGTGTTTCAGCAGTAGAGTTACCTAGCCTGTATGTGAGGGATCACCTCTGAGCTTCAAGGAAAGGATTATCTTCTATAGGAGGGATGGTGATGACACTGAGACCTGCCTGACTTTACATTTGGCTCAGCTTACTACTACCCAGGGCAAGGGGTGATCTGACAGGTGCCAAGCCTTCTGGTGCTTTCACAGGTGGCCCGCTGCAAGCAGCTGATCTGCGACCCTAGCTACATCCCAGACCGTGTACGGAAGGCTGGCCAGGTTATTCGCATCATCTGTATCCTCAGCCACCCCATCAAGAACACCAATGATGCCAATTCTTGCCAAATTATCATCCCTCAGAACCAGGTCAACAGGAAGTCAGGTAGGCCAGGCCATGAGGGATTACCTTCTGTTGCTATGCCTCTCACAGGAAGTCTTGGGGTTTTTTGTGACATTTTGTTACAGAATATATCTGGGATTGGATGGCTTTCCCTTCTTCATGAGAGTGACAGTTTGGATGCTGTCTGCATGTTGGGCTGGGGAGGGACAGGTGGGCCAGATTTCTGTTCAGTTCCTAGGAACTACCTTTTCTGTGGTCATTTCCCTTGGCACATGTTAACTGAGTGCTTCCTGTGGTCAGACATCTATGTGTGCATGATCTCCTATGCACACAACGTGGCAGCACAGGGCAAATACATCGCCATTGCCAGCACCACCGTGGAGACTGCAGAACCGGAAAAGGAGGTTGAGCCTGCGTTGGAGCTGTTGGAACCCATTGACCAGAAGTGAGGGGCTGAGCCAAACTGGGCAGGCTGGGTTGAATACCAGGAATGGGCAAGGCCCATTGTGAGACTTTAATGTACCTCTTTTTTCCATTTGCCCTTCAGGTTTGTGGCTATCAGTGATTTGTATGAGCCTATTGATGATGGTTCTGAGAGTCAGGTAAGAAACCTGTCCCACAAAAAAAATAAAATGCCGGCGTTGGTGGCGCACACCTTTAATTCCAGCCCTCGGGAGGCAGAGGCAGGTGGATCTCTGTGAGTTCAAGGCCAGCCTGGTCTACAGAGCAAGTTCTAGGACAGGCTCCAAAACAATACAGAGAAACCCTGTCTTGAAAAGAAAAAGAAAAAAGAAAAAAAAACCTGTCCCACTCAGCCCTGTCTGTTGATGCCCACCCAAGATCCTCTCCCTAATTTCCCTGAGCCCTGGGGTTTTGCCTATTTACAGGTGTTTTGTTCCTGCTCCTATGATGCCACCACACACTTTGAGACTACTTGCAATGACATCAAAGATATCTACAAACGCATGGCTGGGTCTGCCTTTGATTTTGAGAACATGAAGCGCAAACAGAATGATGTCTTTGGAGAGGCTGATCAGTGATTTCTGACTCCCCTCCTCCAGCCCCTGCTCCCCTTTCCCCAACCTGTGTGTCCTCCTTTGGGGCAGGGAACATGGTATGACTGGGTATCCCTGTTTCCAGCATTTTCTGTTTCCCTCACCACATTCTGATCGCTAACATCATTGATTTGACTTACTGACCAAATCCTTAACCTTAGTGATGATTTTGGGGGTTGGATAGTATCCTCATTCTTGGTTCTAGGAAAAGAGGATTCCTGTTCGTGAGCATATGTTCTCATGAGGGGGAGAGAGAGAGAGAGAGAGAGAGAGAGAGAGAGAGAGAGAGAGAGAGAGAGAGAGTGTGTGTGTATACCCTAATTCTGCTGTTTGGAAAGGTGTGGAGGAAAAGCTGACTCTACTCCTACTGTTCTTACTCCTAATGTAGTGGCCTTTGGAGATACCCCATCTCCTCCCCTAACTCTTATGTGTTGAAGAGAAGGGACCCTCTCAGCACAAAATTGCATCCCTCTTCCCCCTTATAATTTATTCTAATTTATTAACTTTGACCTACATGTCTGAGCCCTCAGCCTTTCTGTGCAGCCTGGGGCTGTAGAGTGAGCTGCCCTGGCCTTTCCCAGCCTTGGCAGTCTGGGTTGGGTAAAGGTTTAGGTTTGGCCCTCTCTGGGAGTTGTTCTAATTTTAGTTACTTGCCTTTGTGTTGTGTTCTCTGAGAAAAAGTAAATGTGAGCAAAGCAGAAGGAGGTGGGAAAGTGTATGCAACCCCAGTGTGCCCTGCCCCATGCCTTTTCCTTTAGTGGTGAGAAACCCTTATCTTGCAAAGAGAATGTGTCCCCTTCCCCAACCTCTAGTGTATTTCAAAATAAAAACCTCCCAATAAAACTGTTGAAACCTGAGTCTGGATCTTTAGGTTCTTTGCTCAAAGGCTGTTGAGTTGTTTTGCAGAACTGGAGCAATTTAGCTTCTGGAATTAGAACTGTATCCTCAAGGGTCAAGGCAGGTGAAGTAGGTCCATCAACAGCTGGTGTTGGGTGGGGTCATTTTTGCACTCATGGTTTCTTTTTTCTTTTTGGTATTTTGAGACAGGTTTTGTAACAGCTCTAGCTGTCCTGGAACACAATCTGTAGAGCAGGCTGGCCTCAAAGATCAACCTGCCTCTGCCTCCCAAATGCTGGGATTAAAAATATGCATCAACTGGGGCTGGAGAGATGCCTCAGAGGTTAAGAGTACTGGCTGCTCTTCCAGAGGTCCTGATGGCTCACAACTGTCTGTAATGAGATCTAGTGCCCTCTTCTGACATAACAAATTAAAAAAAAGATGTGCACCAACACCACCCAGCTGCATTAGTGGTTTCTAAGTCAAAGAAAAGGCATCTAGGTGTCCAAGACTTTGGGTTCAAGTCCATTTTGGGTTCTCAGAGGCAGGGCAGCACAGGTGAGATAGCTCAACTGGTAAAGGTACTTTTCAGGCAACCTTGAATTTGATCTTTGGATCCCATATAAAGGTGGGAGGGGAAAGGCAACTCCACAGTATGACCACTGCATATGTTCCATGGCTTGTGCACACACAAACGTGTATGGGTATTTTGCCTAGGCCAATGTGCATCACTAGCATGCCTGCTGCCTGCAAAGGACAGTAGAGGACGCTGTGAGCTGCTTTGTGGGTGATGGGAATCGAACATGGGTCCTCTGGAAGTACCTCCTCTAGTCCCATCAGTGCCTGACCCGTCTCTTCAGCCTCACACACACATTTTCAAGAGGAGAGGGAATCAGGAGCTAGTCTCAGTCCTGGGGAAGCAAAGGGACCCATACCTAGTCTTGGATGATAGCAAAAAATCCAAGCAGCCAACAGAGAGGTGGTGACGCATACCTTTAATCCCAGCACTGGGGAGGCAGAGGCAGGCAGATTTCTGTAAGTTCAAGACCAGCCTGGTCTACAGAGCAAGTCCCAGGACAGCCTCCAAAACAATTCAGAGAAACCTTGTCTCGGAGAAAAACAAAACAAGCAGCCATATTCTGTCAGTCTGTGACCAAGTAGGGTAAACAAATAGCCTCAGAGAGAAGGGGAACACCTGACTAGGAGATGTAGCTCAAAGAGCTCCATCAGCCAAGTCAGGAGAGCGTCACACACAGTGCTCAATCCTGGGGCCAATAGGAGGAAGTAAGAGGGCTGGAGGTCTAATTTAGGACAGCAGTTAACTTTGAGGGCGTGCAGGAAGCTAGCGGATTTAGCTCTATCACAAAAGACACTGCAGAAAGAACTGGTTTCTCAAAACTCGGTGTGGGTAGGGGCCCAGAATTCTATGGGGCGGGGCAAAGTGTGATCACGTGCCAGAGACGCGAGCGTAAGGCGGGCTGGCGTCCGCACGTTCCCTGGTGGCCGACGTCACACGTCAGCTGACTAAAAGACCACTGCCGCCTCCAGGACGTGTTAAGGCCAAGTCTACACCTCCGTCACTGCCGCTGTCGCCGCCGCCGCCGCCGCCGCCGCCGCCGCCGCCGCCGCTGCCACTGCCACCGCCACTATGGCTCAGTACAAGGGCGCCGCAAGCGAGGCGGGCCGCGCCATGCACCTGATGAAGAAAAGGGAGAAACAGCGTGAGCAAATGGAGCAGATGAAACAGAGGATTGCAGAGGTGTGGGCCAGGCCGGGGCGCCTCAGAGCATGCGCGCTCAGCGCGCGGACGCCCTGGAGATCTCTTGCTACTTGGCTCTGAGAGACCCCAAGGCGGTCTAAGAGTCCCGGGGGCGGGACTTGCTTGCGCACATCTGGCTGGTTACAGAAACCAGCTGAGACAGCGTAATCTGTAAAATGGGGTCAGTGATGGGACATATCAGAGATTGAGACCACTAGCTTGTGAAAACTTCAGCAGGAGGGAGCCACAGTTAGTGATTCTTGGTGGCATGGATGTTGGGCGAGACTCGCTGGCACCCCTCCTGAGCACAAAGTTTCCTAGTTCATGTTTCCAGTCTTTCAGTGCATACAGGGAAGAGCTCGCTTCCTGTGGAGAGGCACAGGGGTATGCCACTGAAGCTCATTCAAGTGCCTCTAGCATCTCAGAGTACTAGCGCTACCCTCAGGGCTGCTTCAGTGTGTGGTCACTGGATTCAGGGGCGCGGCACCGAGGAGACCTCGGCTTGATCCTTTGGGCAAGACTGCTGAGAAGAGCAGGGCCTTAGCTCTCCAGGTGAGAGCCGGCCCTATCTAGGGGAGTGAGAAACCAAACCCAAGAAACAGCCTTCAGATGGAGGTATCATCAACTCTCAGTCATGCTTGTATTGACACCTAGTCCTCTAGTTTTGACCCCATTGCTTTAATGGCAACTGGAAGTATACCTCTGTTGACCACTCATTTGGAGGTCTGGTCAGAGAGGGACCTACATGGTACCTATTAAGATGGGGCTGGGCTGAAGAACAGTGACCTAAATAGCTGCTGACAGTATCCTGGGCCAAAAACAAGGAACATTCACATGGGGGTGGGGGCTGGATTGGAACTTTTGATCCCTCTTTTTTTCTTTTATCCTTTCCTGAAATTCCATGGTTTGGGTTTTAGGAACTTCAGCTTAAAGGCTGGATAGGAAAAAGGCCAAAGGTGAGTATAATGGTGGCTATAGGCTACTGAGGCAGTGCTGATCTCCAGCAGGAGACCTGAAGGGGTCAGAACAGTTTAGGATGAAAAGGAAAGAATCTTCTTTGGCTCCTATAGCCCTCCCAGCATGGTGGACCCTTCCATTCAGAAAAGGAATGGTGTGTGTGTCTTTTCAAAGATTATATCATAGTGTGTCCGGCACAGATCTAGGACTATATCCCAGTGTGTCCAGGAACAGATCTAGGACTAGGATCTAGGACCCACAGCCACTCTTTCATTTCCACAGTGGAATGGTAGATGTATACCTCACTGATGTGTCCCTTCCCTGCAGGAGAATATAATGAAATCCAACATTGACAAGAAGTTTTCTGCACACTATGATGCTGTGGAAGCAGAACTCAAGTCCAGTACTGTGGGTAAGCAGGACACATGTACCATCTTCTTCCAGACCCAGGGGCTACTCCTTCACTGACCCTGGGTGACCCTTCCATGTCTCCTTGCCTCACAGGTCTCGTGACCCTGAATGACATGAAAGCTAAGCAGGAGGCACTGGTGAAGGAGAGAGAGAAGCAGCTGGCAAAAAAGGAGCAGTCAAAGGAGCTACAGCTGTGGGTCCCCCATCCTCTCTTAGCAGTCCTCCCCTTACAGTACAGCTAGTGCTTGGGAACTCCTGGGGGTGGGTCAGTCTGTTCCCATTCCATAGGGAGACCCCATTTTCTGCTTTGGGAGCAGTTGTGGTATCTATTGAGCTCCACACTGGTTCTCACTTTCCAGGTTTATCTTTCTTTCTGTTCCTCTGTAAAGGTGGTGAGTCCTTTCTGAGCCCTTTCTTTTTACTGGGTGCCTGAACAGCCTGCATTGTCCCCATTCCTCTCTGTCCCATGACCCCTGTGTCCTTTATGATTGGTGGGTCATAATCAGAGCCCTGCCCTTTAGCTTGAAGTAAACTAGGGCAAACGAATCCTTCTGGGGTGCTGGGGAGATCTAGCCTGTGCTAAGTGAACCCCATGCTAGGCACACAGTGGTTCTGGGTCAGAGAAGGGGCCTCAGGGCAGGAACATGGGGCATGATGGCCACCCATGCCTTGGTAGGAAGCTAGAGAAGCTTCGAGAGAAGGAGCGCAAGAAGGAGGCCAAGCGGAAGATCTCTAGCCTGTCCTTCACCTTGGAGGAAGAAGAGGAGGGAGGTGAAGAGGAGGAAGAAGTGACCATGTATGAGGAGGAACTGGAGAGGGAAGGTGAGGGCACTGCCCGCCAGAGCTCTGTCCTGGCATTTGGGCTGACATTTGGGCTGGCAAAGGAAGACACACACTCATTTTTTAGCCTCAGTCACTTACTGGGTTTGTGGTCCCCAGTTTCACCCAGGGTAGGAGAAGAAGACAGAAATGAGGGAGCAAGCACCATAGTTTTAAACCTAAAGTATAGAATTGCTGTCAGTAGTAGACTGAGTCAGAGCTGGGCCAGTAACCCCTGTACAGGAGCCACCAGTGTTACAAGTCACCAGAGTACTACTAGTGCCTGGTTTATAAGGATCCAGAAGTTGTCCTTTGGAGCACACAGGATAAACTGAAGAGGGGAGAAGATAGTGTGGCTTAGGCTTGCCTACTGAAACTTTCTGAAATATGGGAATGTTCATGAATACACTACCGGGTATTGTGGAGGTTTTTTGTTTATTTGTTTTGTTTTTGATTTTTTGAGATAGGGTTTATCTGTGTAACAATCCTGGCTGTCTGGAACTCACTTTGTATACAAGGCTGGGCTTGAACTCACAAAGATCCGCTTGCCTCTGCCTCCCTGAGTGCTGGGATTAAAGCATGCAACACCATGCATGGCTACTGTTAGGTATTAACTGCTCACCACAGGTGGCCATTGGGTACTGATTGTGATTGGTGAATTTGATCTATACCTGCTGAAATCCAGTGCCTCCAATGTATAGTCCTATGTATGTATATCTGTTCTATGCCTGGCCAGGCTACACAGTCAGTATGGGCTCAGGACACTCAGGATTCCCCTACAGCCCAGGGAAAATTGGCTAGATCAGTTCGAGATAGTCACATGGGGAATACTTGGGTGGGCATAAATAATGAGTATTTCTTTAGTTGCAGAGATGGGAGGAGACAGGAAGAGTAGATGATGAAGTGAAACTATTGTATTGGAATAACAGGACAAAGGATGCATTTGAGGACTTGGAATTAAATTAGGTAATAGCTATCTTAGCCATGTAGGCATCTCTCCTCTGGTTACTTCTTGCCACTGTAATTTTTTAAAATTTCTTTTATTGAGACAGGTTCTCATGTAGCTAGGGCTGG